ATTGTTGAGTTGCTAGCGTGCAGATGCCCGATACCTCCAAGCAAAGACGCATTTTGTCGAGCCGACTGGGGTGTGCTCGTAAATTTGATGTCGTCGCAAACAGTCGGGGCGGTGTCAGGAGAGGCGGAGTGAGCCCGCCCCAGCTTCTTTATCAACCAAGAGTGACCGTTGTTGGAAGAAAACAGCCTGACTGCCCCGACTGATTGCTACGATGCCATCTGTAAAGTGAAGAGCTAAATTATACTGTTTGCAGTTTCACACGTAAAGGTCCTCGGTAAGCAGACCATCTCAAACGGTGATCCTCTCAATAATGTGCGGTATAGACTGAAACACTTGGAAGTGTTCAGGGTGAGTTACCTTCCTTGACATGGTTATTTTTTCTTTCCCTCCTTCCTTGGCAAGCTCACTTTTTCTTTCCCTATCTTTCAACTTTAAGGCTCCAAATGGCACCAACTACTTGCCTGCTATGGTTTCGACGTCATCGGAATCGTCGGCATGTGGGATTTCACTTGAAAAGGGAAAGCAGTACCTACTATCAGGTAAAGATTAGTCGCGGCTCACAAGCCTTTTATTGCAAAAACTGGTGTTTTTGGCCGCAATTTGCTTGTGTCTAAGTTTTCATGAGACGTTTCATGTCTAAATTTCAAGAAGAATGCTGAGTTATGGGAGATAGCGTGAAGTTCAGGACTTCATCCTGAACCCGCTCTTCTAAAGTGTTATTATTACCTATTGCAGCACCAGGGTTCCTTCTTGCCCTCTCATGAGGACGGACTGCACACCCACCTCCATGATTCCTGCTCCACGCTCCACATGAGTGGGTCCGCAGCACCAATGTGCCTTTTTCTCTCAAAAACGCACGGGAACGAGCCAAACGCTAGTGATACCAAGGTGCTGTTTCCATAGTTCGCTCGAGCTGCCGCGCGGCGAGCCAAACGCCTAACCATAGTCATCCGCGCTACTTCCTACTCGGATATTACTACTTTCCAGTCCCAATTCTGTGCACTTCTGACCGTAAATAGTGGCACAAGACTGCATCTGAACCCCCCCCCCCCACCTCGCGCGTGTGGCACGTATACTCTTTATCCCTGAGACGGGGTAGGCGTGGCATTCGAACATGGCACGGAACTGGTTACTCGTGGGATATTTAAATTTCAGACAAGTGGAAAGACGTGACCACATTTGGGTCAAAATGAAAATGTCTTTCCAAGAGCACAGCCACCACGACGTTTAGTTGAAGTACGCAGCCACGCCTACCTCATCTCAGGGATTTCGAGTGTATCTGGTTTGTCTCTGATGTCACTGCCATAATAGGCCTACGTTCCATCTACGGGGAAAACATTTCAGCGGTGATACCTCTCTTATTTCCCCCTGAAATAATGAAATTTGAAATATTGTGAGCTACGCTGCGAGGCATTTCACCTCGTGCTGTCATAATGGGTTACTGATGCATGATTATTGGCGACATCTTTACGTTTTTGATTTTTTTCTCTTTTGATAATGATTCATTCAGCAGTATAATCACCGCTGGGATCACTGACCATAAGCTAGTTACTTCTGAATGGTCTTGAAGGATTATAAGTTTAGTGAAGAGTGAATCGAAGAACCTGAAAAGGTTGCTCTCGAGATAATTAGAGTTATCAATTTTTTTCTCCCGTCGAAAGCTGTTCAAAAAGCAGAATAGACAGCAGTCTTGTGAAGAAATACCTCGTATCCCTAAGACGGAGTAGGCGTGGCATTTGAACATGGCACAGAACGGGTTACTCGTGGATATTTCAGTTTGAGACAACTGTCATCTTGTTCTGTGTTGGACAGAGACACGACCACAACTTGTGTCAAAATGAAAATATCTCTCCAAAAGCACAGCCACCACCACGTTCAGTTGAAGAATGCAGCCACGCCTACCCCATCTCAGGGATATCGAGTGTACTTTGATCTGGTTCTTCTTTGACATGGCGATCGTCCTTGCGATGTGAGATGGAGCTTCATTCTCAAAAAGGACGACAACGAGTCCACTTGGACAGTTTTTTTTTCGCTTTGCTGTTGCCGATTGTCGGAGCTACCACATACTAGTATCAGCAATGACTGCTTACTTAGATTCGAGCTGTTCCCAGAACACTACGAATTGCTGATTCCAGAAAACCAAGGCATAATACCTAGGGGGGGACCACGGATTTTGCTAAGCTGGTGAGCCTTTACAGTTCGTATGGCAGAACACGCAGGTGACAGTCAAATACCTAACCTAGTGCGGCAGTCCTGACACCGTGAAGAAGATCTGTGAGGCACTGCTCTGGCAAAATTGGCGGCTCTCTTCTGTATTGCCCATTACATTCTCAATGCAAAGCGTTGGCCAGTATAGATGGCTGTGCTGACCAGCAGTATCACACTATTCTATAAAATGACAAATTTAAGAAAGTGCCATTGTACTAGGTTTAAAAAATGTTTTGGTGCTTATTGACCCTATCTCAAGGTATCGTCGTCATCCGGGCAGTTGATCAGCCGACCCCTGGGGTCGCGACGCGGCTGCAGCGCGTCACGACCGCGGCGATCAGCTGTTTCCACCCTAATTTAGCAATTTCCTCCCTAATTTTCACTGTATTTCCTATTTTTTTCAAGATTATTTACGTTATTGTCTATATGAAGTTTAAACTCGTGAACTTTTTTATTTCTCTCGTAATGGTGTGTTTTTCGCCGATTTTTCAGGCATTTTATATGAGTGCTGCTTTTAACTTAGTTTAATTGTTCGCAAATATTATAAAAATTCCAACTATAACTTACCTTATGAAGACAAGGAACTGCTAATCTTGGAAAAGCAGCCAAAACAGTGAAAAGTAGGGAAAAATGACTAAATTAGGCCGGAAAAAGCAAATAGTTCCTACGCACGCGGTCGCTGCTGCAGCCGCGTCTGCGGCCCGTTGACGACCGCCCTAATCATGCCCGGATGCGAGGGTATGCCCCTTGGGTATCTGTACTGAAGATTTGGTTTTCAGCTTTCTACGAGAGAAAATACCATACGTCGACCTGTGGACAGGTCGTTACAGACGATCCCAATGATAAGTTTGATGGTGCCTCATGGAGTGGAAAGACGTTTCAACGGTCTCCTTGAAAACGCTTGAGATCATTCACCTGTTGAAGACGTTCGATCTGATGAATAAAAGAGCTCATTCATGATTTTAGAGAAGCGTAACTTGAAGTAGAAGCATGAGATTCAGGACAACTCATTGAAGTTGGTAGGCTCTTTGGTGAACAGTATACCAGTATGTCTTACTCATCTCATACGCGCTAGCCCATTCCCTACACCTTAATTAGGAAACGTTTGCGTTGAGCCTGCTTACCTGAAACGAATGCCTCGCCCCCACTCATGGAATCTATAGCATTTCTTCCACCGGCCTGCTTTTTATCCTTGTCTCCGCTTACTTTAGGTACGCTCATCTAAATTTTCTTTTTCTTTCTTCGGTTTCTGAGCTGCCTCGGAACCGTGTCATGAATGCTTGCTGTGAGCACCACTCACCAGGTGCTCCCCCCGTGATTTCTCTTCGTTTGATCTGTCGTCACCAACAAGCAC